TATATATATATATATATATATATATGCAGGTAGGTAGACCAGAGGACAGCTTGAATTTTCTGTTTTAAGGTACCAGTTCAGAACTTAGAGTATATAAGAAATGAGTGTGGTTTACTATATGAATCCACAAGATGACCTAAAGATATTGTGTAGTGTGAGAAGGATAAATTGGTGAGGAAGACGCCTGGGGAACAACTTGTTAGGGACAAATGTGGAAGAGGAGTCCACAGATGGACTGGAGACAGCAGAGAAGTGGGAGGAAAATGGGGGTGAGTGGAGAGAGTGTTTCAGAAGTCCAGGGAAGCCGAGAGAATTTCAAGGCATGGGCAAGCAGTCAACTTTCACCATGCAGCTGAGAGGGCAGAAATCACTGAAAAGTGCTGACCAACCAAACCAGCACTCAGACCAGAGTTGCTCTAAGAAGGTGGGGCAGAAGCCACTGTTACTGGTTGAAAGGAGAATTGATGAAAAAAATAGATAAAGCAGGAGTTGTGTGCTTTTATTCCAGAAAAGTCTACTGTGAGGAAAACAGGTAAGTGAGAAAGAAAAAGTGACAGCTACAAGAGACTGAAGGGTTTGATGTCTTTATTTTTGCAGTAGATGGATAGGGCATGGAGCAGGGGAGCATGCTAAGAGTTGAAAGCAAGGTGATGTGGCCACTTGGCCAGTGGCCTCGGCGATCTGTCAGGCCACAAAGAGACAATAATAATGATAGCAAACTGATACAGTACCAACAATGTTCCAAATACTCCTCTATATTAATTCCTCTATATCTCATAACTGCCTTGTGACATGGATTCTGTTATTACCCTATTTTACTTAAGAGAAAAATGAGGGACAGAGAGGTTAAATACTCTGCCCAGTTTCTGCTCTATCCACAACCCTAAGCAAATACCTTATGGAGCTGCCAGAACGATACCTTGGTGTAGATGACAGCTTCAGCAGGTTCAGTGGCTCAATGGTTGAGAGGTGGAAAGGGTGGGGATGGGAACCATGGTCTTTGCTGAGATACAGTTCAGCTCTGTGGTAAAGAGAACCTTTATCTGTGGACATGTCTTTGCAACTTTTTCATATTATTAAGAAGTTGAAGATTGAGTAAAGTTAGTGGCTTATCAATATTATTTAACTCTTAACCTTCTTGGAAGAAGCTTAGTTGGGAAGAGTTAGTCTGAGTTAGTTTGATGTGGCAGAAGTGAAATAACCACCTAAGATGAAATTAGAATGTTGGCAAGTAATTCAGGGTGGAAATCAGGGCTGGAATGTGGGTGGTGGATGAGGGGTGGGGAGTAGGGGATTGAGATGGGTAGGAGGTTGAAACAAAGTTTATCTTGGTCACATAGTTGAATAAACTTGAATTATTTCCAGGCATCTGGTAATTGAACTTATGAAAGATTGGACAAACTTTTGTTTATCCTGATTGCTTAAGCTTTTCCTAGTTTTGTGCCTGTCACTCAACAAAGGTGGCATTATTTGGAAATTTTAAGGAGTATAAGTCTCTTATTCTGATATTATCATTAACATCAGTAACTAACAGTAACATTTATTCAGAACTTACTGTGTTGCTAGTAGTCAAAATGCCTACTACTTTGTGGAAAGTATGTCATTTTGCTTTCATAAAAACCCCAGAGATGGCTCACTATTAAATAGTTTTACACTTGAAGAAACTCCTGCTTAAAGACAAAGTCCCAACCCAAGGCCATAGAGCTAGCAGGCGGCTAAGCCAGCATTGAACCAGATAGTATGAATACAGAACTCAGGTGCTTAACCCTCTGTACTGTTCATGAAATAGATGGTGCCCTAAACACCCCTATTCTTTCAGAGTTGGATCAGGGCTGCCATGTCCATGTATGAGAAGATCAGATTTAGAAAACCCATGTCTCTAGTTCTACTGACCATAGCTATTTGGGGGTTGGTTTATGAGTGGAAAGGTGAGCCTAATAATAAGATAGTTACGAGTTATTTTAAGAAAGTAAAGAATCTGCATCATCTTCATATATCTTTACCTTCCCTGACTAGGCCATTAAAAAATTTCTTTACATTTTCAATGCAAAAGGGGTCTGTACTTGAATACACTTTGCTGTCCTAGATATTTGTGGGCTGGAATTTCAGTGAAGAAAGCTTTGTTGGCAATAGGAAGGTTTTTGGAACAATGATTGAATATAACGTCCACGGTTTCTCTGTCCATCCATCTGTTCAATACTACGTACTTGCTGTACTAGCTGCTGGATTCAGAAGTAAAGGTAGATACTTACCCTGATTTCATATTGTGGAGTTTATAACATGATGGGGAAGGCAGAAAGTAAGTTAACTAGGAATACTTAATTACTGTTAAATTGGATTTTGGAAACTAATACAATTGTACATTTGATTGCTCCCCTTTTAATTGAGGTTGGCTGAATGGCTTTGCCTGCTGGGAAGTGGACTAGTTAATGCCTGAGGGTAAGCTCGCTCTGTATAAAGTGTATATATAAATATAAAACTATAACTTCAGGACAGAAATAACTGGAAAGATAAGTATTAAAAAGACTGGTATCTTATAAAATATAGTTTAAGGTGCTGGGTATGTAAAAGAGAAAAATAGAAAATATTAATATTCTCATTTTCTGTGCATATATTTATTTATATTGTTCATTTATTACTATATTATGAAAGGATATGAAGCAGCACAAATACTGGTCACAGGCAACTTTGATATGGAAACTTTAAGAAAAATACATGTGTGTTATGACTTTTCCCCCCACCTTTTGTTTCTGCTGTATTGGCCCAGAAATGCCATAGGAGTGGCATTTTTTTAGGGAGAACTGTGAAAACAACAGCTTCAAACCAGAAGCATCTTCACATCTATTTTTTTAAAGTTTTCTTTTTCCAAACCAAAACCAAAAGTAATAAAAGATATATTATAGCATGTTCAACCCTTTTAATAAACTTTGAATAAACTCAAACCTTTTAATGAAGTTTTGTTTTGTATTAGATGCTAAAACTGGGTGAAAGTTCTTAGCCTTAAGAACTTTCTTTTACCTTAAGCCTTAATCCATGGTCATTATTCCCCATGAGCTCAGGTTGGATAAAATTATGCTCCTATTCCAACTGTTTAAGCTCTTGGAAAATTCGTAAAGCAAAATATACAGCCTGTTGGATTCTCAGGAGACTGTCCCCATCCTTCTGTGTTTCTGTGTGCCACAGGGATGGTACTGAATTTTTTTTCTGACATTTGTTTTTCATAAACTCTTTACTTTCTTTCCCACTGATACTCCTACAGGCTCAGTTTGAACTTCAGGCCTTTCATATCCGGGGTGAGCATGCGGTGATAACAGAGAGACTAGAAGAAACCATTGAAAATCTCAAGCATGAGGTAGAACACCGATGGCGAGGAGGACGTGAAGAGATGAAAGATGCATGCATCTCCACCAGTGATGACTGTCCTCCAAAGACCTACAGAAATGTGTGCATTCAGACAGATAGGGAGACGTTCCTCAAGCCCTGTGAAGGTGAAGGCAAGACAAGCAGAAGTAACCAAATAATACCCAAAAAGCTGAATATCTCCTCTCTAAGCCAGCTCTCTCCCCCAAATGACAACAAAGACACCCATGTACCACTGCAGTCTGTGGAAGGCATCTCATCAAGTCCACAGAAGGCTTTGCCACCCCCTCCCGCACCACCACTACCCACAGCCATCCCTCCCCCTCCTCCCCTGCCTCCTGGACTTGGCCCTTTGCACCCAGCACCTCCACCACCACCTGTGAGTACTGGGCCACCACCGCCTCCACCACCACCCCTCCCTCCAAGTGCTGGGCCACCCCTGCCACCTCCCCCACCACCGCTTCCTAACTCCCCTGCTCTGCCCAGCAGGGGGGGGCCTCCTCCGGCTCCAACGCCCCCTGGACTTATGCCCCCACCTCCTCCTGGACTGTTCTTTGGAGTCAGTTCTTCTTCCATCCAATGTCCTCGGAAGCCAGCCATTGAGCCCAGTTGTCCTATGAAGCCTCTGTACTGGACTAGAATACAAATAAGTGATAAGAGGTAAGCTTAACTCACCTGGCACATTCTTAGCCTGTGCATTCCCAGGATTTTGCACAAATAATGTTTTATTCTTACCAGGTCAGTATCTGTGTACTGTAGTGTTCATTCTCAAATATGGTACTGTGAATGCCTTGGATAGATAAGGTTGGAGTATCTGAGGAGGGTATCTGTCTCCACCATGTCTTTACTATCTTCTCTATGAATTGATGCTGGGAGACAATATGTACTCAGTGTCAGATCCTTTTCTAAGATAAATGCTCCATATTACAGACTAGAAGAGAGAGAGCCCAGGTCTAAGTTAAAGCCTTCTCCAACATCCCCACAATTAGTGAATAATCATAAAGAAACTGAGCCTCAATCTATGCTGTAGGTTCACTGAAGATTTTTAGAATATCTGTCTTGTCTTTAGATGGCATCATCAACCTCATGATATGGATATTTAGCAGGTACGTGTAATCTTTCATTTTTTATTGAAAGAACCAGACATAACTGAGTCATTAGCTCTGCAGGTCAGAGGTTAGTTTTAAAATTTAAACTTTCTGCTTGAACTCTGGTTCCCCTTACTTCTAAATGACCTCACATCTTACACCTGTTGCCCTTCAGAGAAAGTACCAGTGTACAGATAGCTAAAAAGCATCTTCAAGTTATGTAATTTGTTCAGCTGTATCTGTAAGGTGGCAAGGTATGGTTGCTTAGAAACTTTTATTAAAACATATTTGAATTGGATTTCTTCTGCCTCATTTTGGAGCCTGTCAAGAGGACGAGGAGATTGCCTCTGGACCACTCTCTAGATTTGGAGTTTATTTGTTTGCAAAGAACAGCAAATATAGAACATGTTTTTAAACTTAAATTTTTGAACTTATTCCCCAAATCAAGATGTGGTGGTGAATTTTTCAATTTATATAAAATTTTGCTTGGGGAAGGCAGAATATTGAACAAAATAACATGTAATTTGCAATTACAAAGCCAACTGGAAATCACTATAGAAGAAGTGGAATATCTTAAAACTAAGCATATGGTGAACTAAGGTGATTATATGTACTTCATATTAACCCCTTTCCTTTCACTGAAAAACAAGGGCCAAAAGTATATGTGTGGAAAATCCAGATACTTTTTTTTTTTAATGCTGGTACTTCATCATTTCCCAAACAAACAGCTAAAAGAAAATGAGATGATCCTGCAAGAGCTCCTACCATTAGCTAACGTATTCATGTTCCCCTTTTCCCATTCAAGACTCAGATGATGTTTCCTAAGAAATAATTCCCCAGAATATTTATTTGGAGTTGCGTTCCCTTATTAGTATTCTTAAATTAATGTGCAGCTATTGTAGGGTGATGAATCCCCCCGTCAGCCCTGGACTGGTGTGTTCTGTCAGCAAACAGAGCTGCTGCACACCTGGGTCTCACTGGCCTGCCTCCAACTTCATTCCCCACAAGACTTCATGAGCAACCAATATCATAGACCATAGCAGTGGGAGAGGCGGGCCCTTTGCCCGCTGTTCAAGGAGGGACAAAGTCAAGCCAGTCACTGTCTATGTTTTTCCCCTCCTTAAAGTAATGGGCCACTTTGAGAAAGAAAACAATTGAATACTCAAGCACTTACCCATTTTGCCATAAATGAGGGCTCCAGTATTGCGCAAAGATAAAAGTAGATGAATATACTAACTCTTCTGATTGGGGGCATGAGGACAGCCCTGCTTGGTGGACATGTCAAGCTTGAGCCTGCGTTTGGGGTGGGGGACTTCCCTGAGGGGATGTGTGGAGACTACAACATGCCCACTTTCTGCTGCACCACACATTTAGTCTCTCCTATTAGGGGTCTCCCAAAATGTTTTTGTGCCTCAGAGCATGACTACTTCTTTTTAAATAAAATGGCCTAAAGATTCTGGGCAGTATTCATTTATGGACAAGAGTAAAATTATTGTGGATATGTTCTTTTAGAGGAAGTGAATGGTATTTTAATATGTTGTACAACCAGAAATATAGGCACTTTGTCTTATGTACACATAATAAATTTTAGTCTTGGTCTTCTGGGGGAACAGGACTAAAATATCAATCTATGATTGCTGTTCACTACCAATATGAACTGAAACTTCACTTTGGCCATTTTTCCTTCTTTAGTGTCTGATTTCTTGATTCTAGACTAAGAAAGAGACATTTAGTTAAGGGAAAAGAAAACCTTGTTTATCTACCTTTTTGGCTTCCTAATACATATTTATCTTCCTAGTCAGTATCTTTTCTACCTCCTCCCCATTCCTTCTTTCTTTCTTTTCTTTTGAGCAAAAATCAGTGGTCATAAGAGTCAACCATTATGGCATATAGTCTGTTGTGAGTGACACCTTGTTATGCCCCACCAAATGCCAGCTGATCCCAATTCACAGGGAGGGTGGTATTCCAAGCTTCTCTTATTCACTACTGAAAATGCCTTTTCCCGTAGAAACAGTGTTGTGAATGGTGATGAAGTGTTCATCCCAATTGCCAAAGCCAATTTACTCCAGAATACAACTAGTCACACTGGCCTGAGCTCAGAATCCCCGGAGCTAAGGCCAAGCAGTATAGGTGCAGGAGCCGAGGCAGATGGGCTTGAACTGTCTGCCTCACACATCACATCACCTCCCACTAGGCACCCTCTCCTCAGCTTCCCAGAACCTTTGTTGAGGCCCAGACCAGCAGCCCTGCCCATTCCAAAATTCCTTGGCTCTCTTCCATTGAGGCCTCCCTCTGAGAGTGCCACTGAAATAGGCACTTCGCATCGATGGTGTTGGTGTTTCAAACTGGAGTTGAGTGAGTGGTAAGAGGGGATGGCTGAGGAAGGAGCACATAGATGGATATACTTCACTAGAAATGTGCTCACCCTTAGGTGATGAATTCATAGGTACTCATGATACTATTATACTTTATAACATACACATGGCACATATACTCTTAAATGACTCAAATGTTATATGAGAAAAATTATAATAAAAAAGTGGAGAGAAGTAAATATGAGCAGACCAAAATGTCATATTTCATAGGATGGGTGGGCATATTGCAAAATATGGACATACAAATATGAAAGAAGTGTTCCCACCTGTTTCAAATATGAAAATCACCCTTTAGTATCACAAAGTTCTGTGGACAACCCCACATAATAATAGTTTTTTTGTTGACTGAAAAAATACATACTGAAGCAAAGGTAAGTAAGAGATACTATGAATCAACATATACATATGTTTGAAAAACAGTAAATGTGTAGATGAGACTTTTTCTATTCTATCTATGGGCATTGAGTGTGTTTAAAAGTAAGATAAGAAAGTAAGTAGACATTTAGGAGAAAATTTGTTCCAAGAGGCAATTCTGTACCTGATTCCCCAAATCTTCCTTTTCTCTGTTTCAAAACTAGAGCGCCCCTGTTTTTTGAAGACAAAACAAAACACAGTCTCCCTTGGCTGCTTTAGTTGATATCCCTGTGGGGACTGGGGTAATGGAGGTTTTTGGTGTGTTTTTATTGTTAATACTGTTGTTGGTGTGGAGTATTATAAATCAAGTATTTGTAAGTGAGCACAACCTGTTTGTTCACCTATTATGGGTCCTGCAGTGAGTTGACCTGAGCTAATCCTGGAAACTTTCTTTAAAACTAGTAGAAAAATCCCTCAATAATGAGGGTGAATGTAATAACCACATTGTTTTTCTTGTGGAACCTTCATAAAAGTGTGTATCAATGATACCTTAATAAACAAAAAAAGAAAACACCCCCAAAAAACTAGTAGAAAAATCCAAAGAGGATAAATCTTCACCTTTGTATTCCATTTTTATTCTATTGAAGAAATATTCCATCAATGTGTCAAAATTGGTTATCTTTCAGCCTTTGTATGATGTGCATATTTACCCATCATGGAAAGGGCACAGACTCATGGGGGATGTAATTCATGGCCTCAACAATCTGAATCCCGGGATTTCTGGTTCCATGGGGTTTCACTGGGTCTCTTTCTCTCTCTCTCTGTCTTTGATTGTACCTAGTGACTATTCTGTTCTGGAAATGTATGTTTGCTTTAGTGTTCTATGGTGTATTCTGGTACTAAAGCAATATGTAACACAAAAAGCTTTTCTCTAAGCATTATTATAGATAGATAGATAGATAGATAGATAGATAGATAGATAGATAGATAGATAGATAGATAGATAGATAGATATTTAATAAGTTAAGAAATTAGAGGTTTCATTGTATTCTCTTCTGTTTGGTTCTTAAATTTAACTGGTCATTTTCTCTTTTAAGCCAAAATGCTACACCAACCTTGTGGGATTCCTTAGAAGAACCTGATATTCGGGATACCAGTGAATTTGAGTATTTATTTTCCAAGGACACAACTCAGCAGAAAAAAAAGCCTCTGTCAGAGACCTATGAGAAAAAAAACAAGGTCAAAAAGGTATTGGGTGGGTAATAGTAATTATGTGTATGTTTTTTTGTCATGCGTGGTAATTTGTTATGCCCTGCTGCTTGGCTTTCCCTCTGTATTCAGAAAAGGTTTTGAGTCACAGATGACAAAGAGGAGCCAGTAGTTTGAGAAACCTGTGCCTGCTCTTTTGGTGCTGAGGAAGAAGTCACGACACACTGGTTCTGCTAATGACTTGCTATGTGAGCTCGGGCTGGTTGTCTTCCTTCTCTAGGCCCTATTTCCCCTTTTCTGTAAGACAAGATTATTGATACCTGAGTCTACATGACCTGCCTGGATGTTGTGAAATTCAGTCAAAGAGGGTTTGAGGAAGTCTTGAACAGTGTGTCATGTTTGTTAGTTCTATAGTGGAGTTCATCTATTGGGTCGTATCTCAAGTAATGTGATTATGAAATCAGCTGTGCTTACAGTGGAAAAAATGACGAAAGTCTGTGCAGTTAATCAAATCAAGTTTTCTCGCAGACTTGAATTATGAATGAAAATCACAATTTTGAATGCCATCTGTAGAAAAAGAAGACTGTGGCTTCCATACAAAAAAGCAAAAAAAGAAACCATGTATTCCAAAGTGCCTCCATGTGCCTCCTCCAGGGAGCCTTTTCTGACTAACCAGGAACTCGACTGAATGTCTCCTTATGTAATATCACATTAAGCTTATTTTTGTTCTCTATTTCTTCTTAGATCACTGTTACTTCTTTTGTTTCTCTCTCAGGATGCTTGGCAACATATTGTTTACTCATAAAACTAATTATTTCTGTTATGGTGAATAAGTATTTTTAAAACATCAAAAGTATTTGTTTTTAAAACATAAAAACACTTGGTGGTTTAATTCTTATTTCTTATCTCATAATTATTTGCCTATTCAAAGGATTTTCACTAAGGCAGTTAGTACTTGATGTGTTTATTTTGTTTCTCTGAGGGGAAAAATACCCTTCATTTAAACTCATTAATCTTTCTGAGCAGTGAGGTTGCTGTTACCCCATGGAATCCCTGCCCATGTGGAGTCTCCACTTTTTTCTTTAAGTGGAGGCAAAAATGTGGCCTTCTGGGCTTTATAGTCATGAGGCTGCTTGGAGTTTTCCATGAGCTTGAGAGTTGAGATTTTAAGTTTTAAAGAAAATAACCAGTTGAATCAATGCCAGAAAACTCCAAACCTGCTTTTTATGAGCCTTTCCCTCATGCCCATGATCAGATTTCCTGCATTGAGAAGGATCCCTTGGTCTTTTCCAAGAGTCAGATTTTTTTTTCTTTTCTCTTGAAATGAAAGTGAATTTTAGAGGTTTTGAACAGCTGAGGAGTTTCAGCACTGGTGGCCAACTCCATCAGCTTAACCACAGAATAACCCCCATACATGATGTCCAGGAGAGCACTTGCCAGATAGATCTTTTTGTAATGAGTGAAGTGGAGTATATGTTGGAGACTTAAAAACCCAGCATTCTGAATCTTGGCTGTAGGGACTCAGCCAGCATTGAGTCATCCCTGTGAACATCTCTTACATGAGCTGGTCTTTATTCATCTGTGCATTTCACATTCCTAGTTCAGAAATAGCTGTCAGAATTGTCAAGATGCTGCTGAACTCAGATACTAGTTTCTAGTTTCCTCTTCTATAATAGTATTTGAAGTTCCTATCACTGGCTCTGGTGTCAAGTAAGCAGATATATATATTCTTAAACTTTGCAGAGATCCTGGGCAAGTTAAATGATAACCTAAGAATTAGAAGGAACCTTACTAATCATGTAATGCAGACCTCATTTTGCATGTGAGATCTAGAAAGATGATGTGACTTCTAGAGTCTGCACACTTTTAACTAGAAAGACATTGATAATGACAGACCCCTGCGAGGATGTCTGAGAGACTCAGAATGGGTCTTCATTTCCTGTTATTTAAACAGTAATTTGCCCCACTGAAGATGGTGACAACTTTTATTAAGATGATTGATGTGATGTGTACAAATGAGAGTAGCCATTACTAAAATCATCAACAAAATACAGATAGACTTGTGCAAATCTAAAATATTTCCTTCAATGTGAAATCATCTGAAGTTTTCTTCAGGGTCTTCCAATAGGGAGCCAAATCTTTGAATAAAAAGACGTTTTTTGTAAAACTCCAACATGTAGATTTGGAGGTGTTTTCCTTTTACTCTAGCAGTCATTTTAAATATTAGCTATAATAAATACTATGACAGATTTGTATGGCATACGCAAACATGTGCCCTCCTCATTTGTGCCACCAGGCCACTCTGCCACTACAAACAGAGAGATCCCCAAGTTGAGAGCCAGAGCTCAAAACATCAGCTCTTAGTACTCCTATTTTTGTTGTTGTTGTTGTTGTTGTTGTTCTCTGATAACTTTCAGGACAAATCATTTAAGTTTCCTGTAGATTCCTCCTCTATAAAATGGGGAAGAGCAGCTCTTCCCAGGATTGTTACCAGGACGAAATGAAATTATGGTTATGAAAGTAATTTAAGTAGTTCCTACAACTGGGTATTAATCTTAGTTTGTGATTGATATCCAAGGTTGTTGGGGGTCTTAATGATGTTCCTTCCTGAAACTATTTGCAAGTGGTAATCTCTAGACCATTTCTGTTTTCCAGTAATTACAGAAGAATCCCCAGCTTCCCTTAGTGACACATATAGGCACATGCATGTAGTAGTCCATCTGACATTGGCTTATATACCCTTTTTGCACTTTAAAATATGAGTTTGCACTACCAATATGCCCATATTTACACTGTGTCTAAGTTACATTTGTTCCCAGGAAAGGTAGGTCAGCACCTTGACAAGGAGCCAGAAATCTGCCTTCATTGTCTGAGATTCTTTTTCCTGCTGCCTGTCAAAGAAGTAGCTCCTGTGAAACGCTTTCCAATTGCTTTCTAAACTTGCCCAACAAATTTCAGAAAATTAGCATGACCTGCCACTATTCTCTTGAAATGCCACAGTCTCACTTTGAATTATAATTTCTGTACTGTTCCCTCCTCTGTAAAATACAAAGCATCATTCTTTCCCTCTGCTTTTTTCATAGGTATTTCTCAAGAATTAATGAGATAATGGCTATTCCCTGAGCACTCTGGGGTGGGGTGGGGGTGAATGGAGAGGGGTACTGATGGTCCAGCAGACACTATTCTGTTGAAACTTCCCGGCGTCAAAAGCCTTCAAGTTGTAATTTGGCCACTTTGGCGAGGATCATAGCTGTAATGTTCAAATCCCAGACTTGGTGTCTCAGTTTAGTGGGGAGGGAAGAAGGGTGGAAGGAGAACATTGTTTGGAAGCCTGAACATAAATTTATAGGGTTTTCATAACCTGTTGCCTTCCAAGTTTATATAATTTCAGTTTTTGTGTACCAAGATAATTTCTCTGGGCTGCCTCGGGTAAGGTATGTGCATTATTATTATTTTTTTGCCTCAGGAGTTGGAAGGAGTTTGCCAACGTTTTTATAGTTTGCATATGTTTGAAAGATGAGCAGGGAGGTTAGGCGTTATCATCTATAGAAATGAGTGAGATAACTTGTTCCTGTGTTGCCAGAACACGGCCTTGTGGTCATTAGTGTTATGTCCAGATTCCTTGAGTGATAATCAGGGCTGTCCTGTTCTTCAGCTTAAAGGCTCCTGACTGGCCAGGTCTACCAAGAGCAAGTGAGAGCTTTTTCTCCATGACAGGCATCAGTTTATAGAAATTCTGCCTTATAAATTTTATTTGGAAATAAGAGGGCCCAAAAAGTTAAGTTGTACTTTTATTGTATTTATTTATTTTTTAAAAAAAAAAGGTGGTTAGAGCTTGTCAAGTAAGGATATCAATGATTCAGAGTTTTGAATCTGAAAATTATTCTGGGAGTTCAGCTATATTTCTCTTGTTGGGTGTTAAACAGTAACTTAATCTGGACTCGGACCTCCAGCCCGCGGCATCATTAGGATGCTCATTACTGCCCCCAACCACAAGAGGGCACCTTAGAATGCTGAGATACAAAGCTAAGTTCGCCTCTGTCCTAGAGCCCGTGGAAAATGGAACCTCCAGGGCAGTAACTGCCCCTCAAGCGTCCTCCTTAGTCTTGTCAAATCTCCTTATTGTGGACCAGGAGGCCAAATTTCACTGCAAATTTTCCACCCAAAATATTGGAAGCCAAATGCATATTAGAAAGGATTGTAAATATTAGCAGAATAGAAATCATTAGTAGGCATAGTTCCAGTGCTTAGAATGAATGACTGCAGTATAAAAATTTATGAAGTTTTAGACTTATCCCCATTGGGACTAATTCTGGAATCACCTCCCCCTTAAACCCCCATATCACACACAGCTTTTTAAATCTTCTATATTAAAGGGAGTAAAGACTTGGAGTTATCTAATTGGAAAAAAAAAAAGTATGATTAGATATACAAGATAGGCTAAGAGAGAACCAAGCTAAATATTTGTTTTTTTAAAAGGGTTTACCCTTTCCTCCTAGTGGAGGAAAGTTGTGAAGTCTTGCCTATATTCTTCTGGACCTCACCCAGGTATGCTTAGTACAAGGCTCTTTTGTAAGACTGTGACATGGCTGCAGCTAGCTTATGGCTTGAGAATGAGTGCCAGTGCTAGGACCCTGATGGGGCAGTGACTCCTCTGGCCTCCAGTTCTAAGCTACAAGTATGTGAGGATATAACAAGAAGAGGCAAGAATATTACATGTGCATTTAAGTCACAAACCGAGTTCACATGGATGTTTGCACAATCTAACTCATATAAGTGTTTTGCAGAGGCGCACGCATCTACAAGACACAACAGGTCAAAACAGCCCAACAAACTCGTAGATGCTTATGGGTATGTGCTTAATACGAATGGAGAGAAGTCCTATTAACCTTGCATTTATGTAGCATCTTTCAAGTGAAGGTGACAACACGTGAAGATTTCAATAGTGATAATAATAATGGCTAATGCTAAGTAAGTGATTTTTGGTTACCTGCTTGGCATGTTTTAATCTATTTAATCATCACCAGAACCCAGTAAAA